GCTGGTGGAAACGCAAACAGAACACGCATTAAGAGGCTCAAAAGCCTGTGTTTTATCTGGCGACCCATGTCACTAGGGGTGCAACGATACACAAAATTCACGGTTCGGTTCGATACTTTGGTGTCACAGTTCGATATTTTTTCGATACAAAAAATGTTCATGCCTTTTTAATTTGTCATTTATTAAAATTATAAATATATATTTTAACTCAAAAGTACAGTTTTTAAATTTAATGTTGCTGAAACAACAAAGTAATAAAAAAAATCTATCTGATCGAGAAATCACTCATCTTTGGAAAAGAGAGTTTATTACAGAGAAATGGCTCTTTCCAAAATAAAAGCTATACTATACGCTTCTTCTGGGCTATATTCTCAGCAGCATATTAAACATATCAGGTCCCCATAAGGAGAATCATGTGCTAACGGCTGTCTAAATGACTCGGGTAAAGTTTGTAGCATGCGTGCTTGTTGTTTTTGTCTGCTTCCACTTGTCTTTGCACTAGGATGATGTCGGAGTAAATGTGCAGTCATATTCGTTGTGTTCCCACTAGTGCTGTCAGCGTTAATCTCGTTGAAATGACGTTAACGCCACAACACGGCAAATCTCCGTTAACGAGCTACCGCGGATCGCCCCGTGCGTGGGGCTGGACGGCCAACACGTTAACGAGCTAACTGCGCTAACACACTAGTTCCCACCCATGTAATTGAGCATTGCGTGGCACATCCAACATACTGTTTTACTTTAGTCCATGACTCGCTTACCTTCAGGGTCATACGTCACATGAAAACCAAAATAGTTCCAAACGCCAGATCTGAATGAGGGTGGGGGAGGTTCAATTTGCCATGTTGCAAGGAGAGCTTAACTTCTGTCTCGCTAGCTTGCCCTGCGCTCAGTGAATCTGCGTTCGACTACTCCGCCTAGGCTGCACTGTCGAGCGCAGATCCACTGAGCGCTCAACACAGACAGCATCGTCAGAAGGAAAGTTGATAAAATAAATTAAAAATTTGTATTGTTCGATACATATGCGTACCGAACTGAAAGCACTGTATCGAACGGTTCAATATCGATACGAGTATCGTTGCACCCCTACATGTCACCTCTGCTTGCGGCCGCATAATGACTTGAAGAGATATTTTTAAAAATTATTGCTCAAAAACTGATTTAATATGAAGGCAATAGGCAAAGTGTTACAGGCATAGCCCTAAAGAATGTAGCCTCATGGGCAGTGTAGTCCAGTTGTAAGTAAGCTATTAAGACTCGACTGTACACTGTGTTCGTGTTTTCCTCCGAAGCAATAAGTTCCGTTGGTGCAGCCTTTCAACGCCTCTCTCTGTCTCTCGCTAGCAAAGTTGAACCAGACAACAAAGTAAAGCTAGTTTTCATCTAAGAGCCCGACATGAACCAACGTATTAGCCAGAGGTCCCTTTACTACGTTTCGGAGCCGCGGACCTGTTTTATATACGCGGAATAGTTTTCTATACGAGATCGCTGCAAAAAGTGCAGCCTTACGTAATGTCCACCCTACTGTTACTCATTTTATATTAAGATTTAAAAATCTAGTTGTATTGGTATGGCGAGTCCTTCAGTAATAGTAATAAATCACACAGCAATAGTACATTAATGTAGTTGTAAAAAGCATGATAATATATTAAGTAATCCAAAGTATTCAGAATACGTTACTCTCATTGAGTAACGTAACGGAATATGTTACAAAATACATTTTGGGGCATGTATTCTGTAATCTGTAGTGGAATACATTTTAAAAGTAACCTTCCCAACACTGCGTATAGATTACTATTTTGTTGACAAAAAACTTCATCCTAATATCAAGACTTGTAAATATGATAGTATAGTAATATCTGATAGTCCACTTGTTTCGAACTCAGCTTCCCGGATGAACCTTTTGTGTACTTCTGGGGATAAAGAGTTTGTGGAATATATTTCCAAACAAACTGATATCTTTATAAGAATAAACATTACGCCTGGCATGGCCTACAGTACGGTTTGGGAAAGCCATATTATATCATACTGTTCATATACTAGAAAACAGAAACGTCTATCTGAATTGATGTACCTTATTTCGCAATTGGATGAGCAACACTCTACAACCCCCTCTCCAGATACGTATAAACAAAGATAAACGTAAAAAACGGAATTTAATTGAATTGAAGCAGTAGTGACACTTTTCTTTGGTAACCACTGGCTGTCTCAGTGATGCCCATAACACAATGTAGGCTTGACTCTTTGGTATCACTCTTAAACACACAACTTAAAGCATATAACGCTAATGTGATGAGGTTTACACTCATTTAGAAGATCTTCAATCTTCAAAACCTGGAGAGAAGCAGAGAGCAGATGTTGCCATCCAGCACAACAGCTTTTCCTCATGTACTATGCCCCTAGAGCATACAACCTTTATACAGCACAATGTTGATACTGCCCAGGTGTGACGGTGCATTTGTTGCCCAAATGTGCCTGAATACAGAAGGAATCGGTTGCTTCTCTGGAGATATGAGTAACAGAAGAGCTTTTGGTGCAGCCCATGATCGTGACTCCACACATCCATCAGGCTGTTTTGGAGGCCTCTCTAAAAATATCTAATAATTTTATGTTTTTTTATTGGGAAGGTTGGAACTACACAGCCTCTCATCTCTGCCCCCGAGTCTGACCCTTCTGTCTCGATCCCTTGCTCTGCTGTTTTTGACCAGTTTGAGCCTGTGAGCCTGTCAGATTTTGAAAACCTCCATAGCACTGAGTCAGGACTCTTAAAGGTTTTTAATGATATTTTCCTTTCCTGTTTAGGTTTTGTTAGTTTAGTTATTGTATTTCTGGGCTTTTGTTTATGTTTGCTCTGCCTCAATTAAAGACATGTTTTCAGTTTCAGCATGTTGTGTTTGCATTGGGATCCACACTCTCTCTCCACTCTGACACTGCCCGATTTATCTTCCTCTGAAGCAGAAAAATATTTCTGCTTGTCTATTAAACTGCTTCTGGCATGTCTAGAAGATATCAAAACTTTGATTGCCCTAAACTTTTTAAAATGTAATTCATTCAAACAGATGTGGTCGTGTTTGGTCCTAGCAGACCTTGTAATTCTTTCTGTACTGATTTGGGACCACTGGCACAGTATTTTAAACTTGTTACTAACCTGGGTTTTAAGATGGACTGGGATTTTAAACTGGACACTCGAATTCGGGCAACAGTCAAGTCCACTTTTTTTTTTTTTATCATTTAAGGCGTTTAGCATAGATAAGACCTATTTTATCCAGGCCTAATTTTGAAACAATAATCCATGCTTCTGTTTCATACAGAGTAAGTATACACCTCAGTTTGTTTTTTGGATGTTTTACAATATGAAAAAGATGTAACTTCACATACTATAAAGATCCAATACCTGATTTAAAAATCATTTATTATCCAATGTCACTAAGTCGTCCTTACCTTTAAACATAACCTTGCTTCTTCCTCTTCTGCCAAGTATCCTTGGCCGAGTTGCTCTGTGTGTGTATATGTATGAATGTATATGAATGCTAGATAGAAAGCACTTACCTGGAAGAAGCTTATAAAAAAGTGCTTTTTTGAGTGTGTGAATGAGACAAGTTGTCCAAAGCACTTGGAGTTCTCAGAGTAGAAAAGCGCTATATAAGAACCAGGCCATTTACCATCTCTGAGTAAAATGATCTCACACTTTTTTCTCTCCCTGGGAAACAGAGCAGCTGTACCTTTTACAAGCAGACAACTGACAAACTACACACAAGCAGTTTGTGTGTTTGTACTGATTTCTTGAGCGCTTCAGTTGACACAGATGTACAGTCTGAAACAAGCAGAAGCAACAAATAGTTTACTTTCAACTAACCAAAAGATGCATGAACAGGTCCTGAATAGCACTGAAGAATTTCTACATTTGAGAATAATTCATGACAAAAAGTTACTGAAGCTTAAGGAGAGAAAAGTTGTTATAAAGATGAAACACCTTATAATGAATGACTGTTGGAAAGCAATGACCACTAATGAACACTTCAGAATTGTGCTGTTATTTTGCAGCAGGAATCAATGTTATGTACAAATGAATATAAAAGCAATATGCAACAAGGGGTGTCGTCTGTGTTCTCCCCAGCCTGTCATGCCTGTTTCTCCCCCAAGTGTCAAGCCTATGTGTCCTGGTGTGCCTCTCAGTTTGTTTCCTGTTTTTTTTTTTGTTTTGTTTTTTTGACAGGCTCTCTTCAGTTTTGCTTTCTACTATCCTGTTGGTTTGATTATTTCTACTTGTGTTCCATGTTTTCCTCTGCTTACGTGTCTTTCAAATAGCTGTATGTTTCCTTGTTCCCCTTGTTTCCATCGCTGCTCCTTTATTCTAGCTCTTTGTTTCCAGTTCTAAGTTTCTAGTGTTAAAGTTTTGTGTCACAGTGATGGTTTATAACTTAACAGCAATAAAACTCCCTCCTTTTGTACATCCCTTTGTGTTCTGCATCCTTCATCTGGGTCCAACCTTTGCCTGCCACACAGCCAACCATGACACTATCACCATTGTAACAACTGCCAGCTTTTTAATATAGCACCACACGTGTACACCACTTTGTATTGGTCTTTCATGTGGATTTCCAATGAAATTGATTCATGTTTGTGGCTGTAATGTGACAAAATGTGGAAAAGTTCAAGGGGGCCGAATACTTTTGCAAGCTACTGTAAAGCAGTTTGGATGTAAATTAAATTTTGGCCGTGTCGCTTTTTACCTTTATTTTTGTATTAGAGACTCACGAAGTAGCAAAGCTGACGAGTGTCACCCTGGGTGTTCTGTCTGCTTTCCTCTTAATGGTCATCACTGTTCTGCTTGTTCAACACGGGAAATCAGGTACTTTTTACTTCAACTCTGTGTTTCTCTTATTTGGTAAAACGTCAACCATGTGAAAAAATACAAATGTTGCCACAAAAACAATAAGAGCAAAGTCTTAGCTTTTAATGTCACTGTATCACTTAATTGATAATCATGTCTTTGAATTATCAGCTACAGAACATGAAAATAAGAATCCAGAACAATTTGAGGTGGGAGCCTTTTTATACAGTATGCTGTAATCTTTTAATATTCTGATGCTTGCACCTTTAAGCCAGTTCAGTTATTTTATTTCTGTACTTTTAATTACAGAGTCTAGACCCTGGCACCATGAAGGATCCAGCACTGCAATCAGCAGTAAAAAGACGCAGGAGGCCTGCAGCAGAAACTCATGTTATTTATACTATCAACAGATAAACTCATTTCCCTGTTTGACTGGTGCTCGTGCTGCTTCCTGTTTTTATTTCTATTTCCTCTATACTATTTCTGCTGCATCTGCACCCCATCAGTGTCATGGCGCAGTGGCCCGTGGAAATGGGATGGACTCAAGTGCAGTTTCAAACCGGAGGCCAGAGGTGTGGTGTAACGAAAAGAGACTTTATTTACAATGCTCAGAGGCTAACAGAAATTGCAGACTAGAATTAAGGAACATAAACTAGATGTCTGAGGCGAGAGAAAATACTGTGACTATAACTAGATGGCAGGGATAACTGGGTGCAGGTACTGGGCAGGGGAAACTGTGGCGGGCCAGGGCACTGAAACAGAGGAGAGAGCAGTCAGGGGAATCCCACAGAGGGCTGCGAGTGAATCTGAGGATAATACACTGAGCTGTCTTACAAGCTTGCAGGTGGGGGTTGCGTGGAGGGGGGAGGCAGGAGAGGTCCAGGTGGGTGCTGCATGCAATGCAGGGAGGCAGGCAGGAGAGACTGGCAGTTCCAAAATGGGGAGAGATTACCGGCGGCTGCAAACTTGTATCCAGGAGAGCTTGGTAGGTGGGTTTCAGAGGCTGACGAGAAAACAGAGGAAATAAGGTTAATACACACGATGAGTCACCAAGGAACAGACGTGAGGCCGAGAACTGACTAAAGTTGGCAGATAATCTGGCGAAGACCAGTTGAGTGCGCCGGTCATAAATACTGCTGGTACGATTGCCATCAGGTGAGGAACAACAAAGACTCCACCCAGTGGGGAGGAGCCGATGCTGTGGAAAACTTCACCCCATCAGCCCCTATTTGTTTTGTTTGCTACATAGACTGCCTGCCACTGTATGCAGGAAGCTGCTGTACACTGTCCTTTAACAGATATGATCAGGCACTTTTTTCAGTATGTGATTCTAGATTTTTTGTTGCGTTTACCTCAAACCAGCAGGAGACAGAGAGCCTGCAGCTGAGAGAGAAGCAAAATTCATGTTGCTTAAGCTGCCAGCAGATAGTAATGTGATAGTAAAGTTTAAAAAGAAGCTGTGAAACCTCATCTACTTGTTTTGATTACATAATGTCAGACTTTTCAGACTTTTAGAAGAATAATTACAATTATTTAATGAAAGTGATTAAAACTGCAGCCATGCACCCTTTGAAGACAAATGTTGCAGGTAACGGATAAAGTCTGCACCACAGGAAGATTTCAGCACTAACAACAAATATGAAATGACTTTATTGATTTAAAGACTAAGAGAGACGTTATTTACTAAACTTTCCTGTTGCTGGTCTTATATGAGTAACGCAAAAAACAAAAATAATGAAATCATAGGAGCTATGGTATAAGGTATGTTTCTCTGAAATTAATTCCATCACGTTTTATATAAAACACAAAAATTGATTTTAGTTTGAATACACTGACATTTGTAATTGTTTCACTGTTTCTATTATCTTGTATGAGAAAAGGGGGAGTTTTCTTTCCTGACATTTGAACAAATAGAAAGTTTGTAGCAACACTGTTTATCAAAGGCTTTTAGCATTGCAATAAAACCACACACAAAAATAGCTGAACTGCTTTCACACAAAAGTTTCACATCTCTCTTTCAACTGTTTAGGTCAACTGCTTTAATGCATTTGAAAATGGTGACATGCTTTTAGAGAAAAAACATACTGGTCCAGTAAGAGGCTCTACTCTGAATCCAAATGCCTGGTTAGCGACAGAGTTTAGAGAAGAAAGTCCAGGCTGGTTTCATTTGACAAAAAGCAGCAAAACTAAGTTGTGCCTCTTCGAGTCCTTTAAATTGTTCCTCATACTCAATGAGCTTGTAAAGTTTAATCATTTACAACGTTACTCAGGCAAGTCTGGTGGAGAAGTGTGTCCCCACATCCTCAAGGCCTGTGCCCCCCATCTGTGTGGAGTCTTCCATAAACTGTTCATTCTGAGTCTGAGTCTGCAGAGGGTCTCAGTGCTGTGGAAGACATTATGCCTCGTCCCTTTACCAAAGACAAAGACCCTGAAAAGGCTCACCGTGGACCAGCTCCGACCCATTGTCAGTAGTAATGGGATTTACGGCTCTTTTTAGAGAACCAGCTCTTTCGGCTCCCAACCGGCTCTTCAGGTTGTTTTGTTGCTTTAATTAATTAATTAATTTATTTATTTATTTATTTAGGACAGTGCATGTTAATGAACATAAATGTAAAAAAAAAATTACATGAATGTAAACATACCAGATTATAGCCAAGGGCTAATTTCCATCTGTTGTCCTTAAGCATAAAAATAGACATAATAATTCATAAAAATTCATCATTCATTCATAATAAAAACTCCA